ATATGGTGGTCATTCAATAGATAAGTTGTTCAGATTCTGTCTAAATATGGGGATGCCATTAACACAGAGAGAAGGCTCAGCCCATACGGCTACAGACCTAATCACAGTTCTCCAAGGGCTCAGACCCCAAGCACAAGACCCAAGAATTCAACCTCGAGTCGGCAAGCAGTCCCATGAAGTGACACTTGAGTACTAAGGCTTTTTACGACTTTTAAGCTGGGCTTCCATAAGCTTCATGAGAATTAGCTAGGTCGTCTTTCACAGCCCAGGAGCGGCAGGCGGCACAGAAGGCTCCCCGTGCTCTGTGGGGCCTCGGTGTGATTTTAAGGTGCCTTTTGGCGGGAATCAGACTTCGGCTTAAGATATATCTCAATTCAGACAGACTGACTTAGGGGGTGGCAGTTTGGCCACAGGTGAAAAATCACCCAAAGCCAGTATCTAACAGGTTCCCGCGAGGCAAAGAGTAACCTCTAATTACTCGTAAGTTCAGCTGCAGTTGCCCAAGGCAGTGCTACAGATATCTGAGAAGTCCACGGGTCCAACACTGAGGACCCACCACCCACGTGCGCACACGCAGAGAGTATCCTCCAGTATGTGATTAACGCTTCTGAAGTCTAACTGTACCACAGTGTAGTTCTACAGAAACTTTGCTAATGAATATGTATCATTTATGTACCATGTTCCATTTTTAAAGCTTAATGCAAGTGAATTACCCACTCGAGTGTGCTGTACTATGATCAGACCTAAATATCTAGAAAAAAAGTTAGGTAATCTCTCCATAAAGAAAGGAAGGAGCTAAGAATCAGTGTTGTTACCTTTACATACGGATGCTAGCCACTTAAATTATCTGAGTTGGGTAAATAAAAACTAAGTTGGGCTTTACTAAAGAAAAATCTGTATTTGGGACCATGACTTGGGTTAAAGCCTCATTTCGTCTCTTCCCTGCTGTTTGTTTTCTCAGACAGGTCATGCTGGGCTTCAGTTTCTTCATCCAGATTCTGACACTAATACTGGCCATACCCGCTCACCCCACAGGGCTCACACAGGGGAGGAGAGAGATCACTTTGTAACCGACACCAGGGGAGCATCGCAGTAGGGCCACGACCCCCAACCAGCCCACACCCACCACCACAACCCTCCCCTCCTGCCAGCCCACGCAAGGCATCCAGACTTTGGTCTGGTCTGTGTACTGGATGTATTGGAGTTCCATGTAAGACTCTGGTTGGAAAAAGCATTCTACTAAAAAGATTAAATTTGAAAAAGGTTATACTATACAAGATCAATTTCTTCTCACAAACAACTAAATAAAATCATCCAAGACATTGTGCAACTACTCTAAAAATTAAAAGTACGCCTGGTTTTTCATGCCAGAAAGTGTACATAACACTACCTCAATGATGACTGCTGACAATCAAACGGACTCCACTAAACAATACTTGAGACATTTAAAATGAAATGAACAAGTGAAATTTACTCTAAAGAAATTCCCACATAGATTCAAAATAACGATTACAAAATTATTAGAAAACCACTGCCAGAAACACAATATGGTTGTACTTAATACAAAGTTCACTTCTTAAAAGTTTTGAATATTAGGAAGATTACATCTAAAAATACAGGCCTCTCTGCACTGTCGTTGAAACAGGTGAAAGCAGTGTTGTAAATACACAACCTTGACTGAGCCCGTCTTAGTTAGTTTGGCAGTGTTCCAGGAAAAAAATAGACACACGATAGACATAAGATTACGAAGTTCACACACACAAAAGTTTGCTTGGTTTTACCATTCTCCAGGGTCAGGAGAACACAGGGTAAAAAGGCTCTCTGGGACATGGTAACAGAAATAATGAAGCTCCACAGAAATAATGAAGTCGAAATCTACGCCAGTGTTGTCCATGACCCTCTCTGGGTTTCCTGAGCAGTAACTACCATCTGCAGGACTTACACTTACTCTTAGCTTTTACCTTGGTGCCTCCACTGAAGACACTCTTTAATGTCTATGTACTGTGTTGGACACAGCAAAAGGGGTGCATGCAAAACAGTGACCCCAAACCAAAGCATAAGTGTGAGCTTGCTGGCACATGATTATGCTGAACTACCAAAAGAACATGAATAATTTGGTTTCATTAAATCCTTCCTTTCCTAGCCGTGGCTGGCGTAGCTCAGTGGATTGAGCACGGGCTGCAAACCAAAGTGTCACAGGTTCGATTCCCAGTCAGGGCATATGCCTGGGTTACAGGCCATGACCCCCGGCAACCGTGCATTGATGTTTCTCTCTCTCTTTCTCCCTCCCTTCCCTCTCTAAAAAATAAATAAAATCTTTAAAAAAAATCCTTCCTTTCCTTTTAGGCTTGCATTTACTCAGAGAATACTACTGACAAATCCTGGGAAGATATGAGACTGTTCGAAGTCAGTTTACATGTTTAGAAGATTGCTATAACTTTCTTAGATGTCATTCATACAGAGTAATGTCTACTGTTAAGAAAATCCAAACATAAAACAGATCAATGGGTGACTACAAAAATATTTATAGCAGTCTTCCCTTCAATAGAAATCTCATTTTTAAAATGAAGTTTGACTTGTAACTTTTTTAAAAAATACATCTAATATATAACGTGAGGCAGAACACTAGTTCCTAAAACTGAGCTGTCTACAAGATTTTGCACAAGGAATCTTAGTATCCCTTAGTAAAGTTACCCTATACAAAATACAAATTTTAGACAACGATTAAGAGCCATATCCAGCCAGTATCAGGAAGGTACAATTTCATATATGTAGGGTAATAATAAAATTCTCACACAGATAAACTGTAAAAAATACTCTCAAGCCCTGGCTGGCGTAGCTCAGCAGATCGAGCGCGGGCTGGGAACCAAAGTGTCCCAGGTTCGATTCCCAGTCAGGGGACATGCCTGGGTTGCAGGCCATAACCCCCAGCAACCGCACATTGATGTTTCTCTCTATCTCCCTCCCTTCCCTCTCTAAAAATAAATAAATAAAATCTTTAAAAAAAATACTCTCAAAATCTCTACTTTTTATAATGGTTAAAATTTTAATTTCCTGGCTTTAACTTCACTAAGAAACAATTTAGACATTCTAAAGTCCATATAGTTGATAAAACATAAATACTGTAAATAACTGAAGATTAAAGATGACCAATTCACAAATAAAACTTTTACAAAAATGTCCCATGAGAACCAACAATGAACCATTTCTTCCCTCAAAAGAACCCGGGACTGGGGCTAAGTCAGAGGCTGGGACGTAAAACAGGTAGGAGATGGCCCATGGACCACTTCTGTCAGCAAGCCCCTCCCTCTTGATGCTTTAGAACAGGTTCAAGAGCATCCCCCTCCCCAGCCCATCAGAACCACGAGGGTCAAGTGCACAGCAATTACATTTTAAAATGCTTCCCAGCCCCTTCTGCAGTGTGAGCATGGTGTAACAGACTGATTTTAGTTTCAACTCTACCTATCATCTTTCTTCGTAAGAAAATTCTGCGCCTACTTGAACATCTGTATAAAAAGGTTGCTCAGCACCAGTAACTGGTTACTGCAGATGAGCCTGGTTCCACGTGCCCACGTTCTAGGAACTAAATGATAAGGACACCTGACAAAGCTGGAATCACAAGTTCACAGGTAAAATTCTGCTGTGTTAGTTCCTTAATGCGCAAGCCCTCAATGATGGAACACCACCCCACAACGGTTTGAAAATAGAGATTTTTCACAAGAAATATTGACTAACCATAAAATGGTAACGTTCTCTCTGTACACAACGCAGTCTACAGCAGTGACCCTTAAGGAGGCATCTCCCTGCACGGGCAAGGCACGGCACCCTGCAGTTCCACCAGGCAGGCCCCTGCGCCTCCGGCCCCACCGCTCCGTGGTGTTCTCACGCTGCTGCGGTCCCTCATCACTCCGTACGTGAACGTGTGAGTTACCCACTGATGCCAGCTCCCGCTCAGTATTAATGCCATCTATTGACTGACAGCTCCCAAATGTGTTTCTAAAGCTCAGACCCTCCTCCGAGTTCCTGCCTCATCTTACCAACTGTCTATTCCACTCCTGCCTGCTGGCATCACCCGCCCCCAACTGAACCCTGGAGAGCCCCACTCTGAAGCTTCCCCCCTCCCCCCTGGCCAGCCTCCCCGTCTTCATAACCAGCATCACTAGCCACACCGCTGCCTGAGGTAGAACCTGGAGTGGCTGTTTCCCTCCTCATGCCCGAACCCCCCTCCGCCCCACAGACAATCCAGAGGCAAACACCGTCAATTCTACTTCTACCGTGAACCTCAAACCCTTCCACTCGTCTCCGTCTCGTTCAGCATTCTGGTTCAAGCCGCCATGACCTCGAGCCTGGAAGAGCCTTACCCGGTCTTTTCTCACCTTCTTTTGCCGCCCCACAGTCCAATCTCTACGTTCTAGCAATCCTTGCAAACGGACTCTCGATAACGTCACTCCTTTAACCTGAAACCCCCGAATGCCTCTCACCTGCACCGGGACCAAAACCCTACTCCCTTCTGGGCCCCTTCAGGTCTTACACATCCGGTCCCTGCCCGCCTCTCCAGTCTTCCACTGGGCACCGTCCTCCTCGCTGACTGCGTCCCAGCCAGCTGGGCCTTCTCCCAGCTACTCCAAGGTCCCGGGGCGACTTTCTACCCTAGGATCCTGGCTGGGCTGCTACCAGCATCCCTTATTTAGACAGCGCCTCCCTGCCCTCCGGGGCTCCATGCAACGGCATGTCCTGAGGAAGGCCCTCCCTGGCCGCAGCAGGTGCACGCGGGGCCCCGTGTGCATTTCCCCACCACGCCCTGTGCATGTCTTCCTTCGCAGCGTTTGTTTCTTTAAATTATTTGTGACTATATTTGTACTTGTTTGCCCAGCATCTTGTTTGCACACAGTAGGCACCTTAACATTTTCACTGAATGCACTAATGAGAAATATGCTGGGTAAGGCTAATTACAAACACTTCCTACTGGGAAATACAAGATGCAATAAATAAGACCTCACCTTCTCAACTTTTTTCTTTTTCACAGGAGGGTCAAACCTGTCGTTGACTCCAAAATACTGAGTAAGTTCCTTCCACTGCCCTTCCCTTGAGGCCTGTTCACTGTAAGAAGACAGACAATACATTTGGCACTAAATGTACTCATTTTTCATTTGAATTCTTTTTAATTGATTACTGTAATTATATTACAACTAGTTTTTGTTTCAAAAGTTAGTAGTGGAACTATTTGTACAAATTCCATAACTACTGTCTAGAACAGACACACGTTTTTAATTTCACTTACCTATGAGACTCTTCATTCTTCAATTTACCTAAAAAGAATTTACAGTGTTAATAGCTAAGTATTTGTTATTTCAAAATTACATTCATTAAAAATTAATGAGCTCAACTACAGTTTGACATTAGCAATATTGACAATTAATCTGAATTAAAACAAAACACCTTTTCTGGAGCGCTTTCTCTTTTTCCTTCTGAACTTTGAAGTTGAAATTTTCTGTTCAGAGTGCTTTTTATGCAATTCTTGAAATTTCTAGTTAAAAGTAAAAAAAAAAGACAAATATATATCTTGAGGCATACATTCAAAAATAACAAATGCTAATAAAAATTAAATTTTAATATTTATAAACATATAAACTTAAGCTCTTAAGATACTCTGTTCTCCAAGACTCTTTCACAACCTGGATTTTCCTGGTATTTTATCTCTAAATAGGTTGATCCAATAATCTGAGAGTAAAATATCTATGATTCACAGATAACAAAAAGATAAAATTAAGATAGAAATTCCTCCTGTATCACTGTCTAGCAAAGTAGCTAATCCTACTGATGTTTTCTTCCTCTCTTATGAAAAACAAAACAAAAACGAAAGCGAGGCTCTGAGCGGCCAATGGGCTGACCACAGGCCCACAGGGTAATGGAAGAACTCTGAGCCGATCCCTCCCGCCTACTGCCTCCCACAGAAGCACACACTCCGACCACGGCAGAGAGACACAGGCTGTATCTACTAAGGACACAGCGGAGAAAACCTACATGCCACGCGGGCAAGGGAACTCCAGAAGGACACTCCTCATACGCGTTCGCATGCGCCTCTGCATCAGTTTTTGGTCCACCTGCGGGGAAATCCGAGACCTCCGTTTCTGTAACGGTCCCATCTTCTTTCTCTGCCTGTAAGCTGGGTCCCGAGTTCTCTGAGGCGTCTTCGTCTTCCGAACTCGGCTCGACATCACTCTCATTTAGGCCAGGAGGCAGCAGCCCACTCCACATCTTCTCTTCTCAGGGGGAAAGGATGCATTCAGACCCCTTCAAAAGAATTTCAAAGCCATTAAATGACACCCCGGGAGCCTAATCGTTGTATCTATAGTTTGGGAACAGTCCATCTAAACTTTTTAAAAATCTATAATGGGCTATGCCCTCCATATTAAAATGATTAAACTCTTTGCCTATATAATTAAAAAGTGTAAAGTAGTGTAGCAAGTTGTTACAAGACACACCGGTAAGTGAATGACCTGGAGAAAGCAGGACCTTGATTCTCCATTACATGCATAATTCTGCCTAAAAAAAAAAAAATGCAGTAAAAGCATCCACTGCTCAAGAATGTTAAGAGCTAATGATGTCAGGCAATTTAAGAACGGTAATAACTGTATTTCAAGCCATAACAACTAGAGAAGAAAACGAAATTGACTGTTTCAGCTGTATTTGAATTTATAAAGCATTCAGGGGACTTACTAAGGAGCAGGCAAACAATTACTCAAAGAAAAAAATTTTAAGCTGTACAGTTTGAGACAAGTATGATGGTAAAAAGGAAATCCTAGTTTAAAATTGTAGTTCGCTAAAGTAATATCAAATGGAGTATAATCCTAACATTTTAACAAAAACATGTAGCTTTTTTGAATAACAATACTATATTTGGGAAACTAATGTTAAAGTTCAGAATAATATTTAGCGTTAGCTATACTGCCCATTGGTAGAAAGAACCACCAGCTATTGTTAAGTTTAATAAAAATTATTTAAAAAAACTGGGAGTTGCAATCAGGTTGCTCAAATCACGATGACCAAGTACATTTCCACTACTAATCTCCATGGCACAGTCTACTTCAGCAGACGTGCTGAGCAAAACCAGCTTGTTGAAAAGATGCCTAAAATTGAGACATCAGCTGTACTGCCCCTGACTTACTATCAACCTGAAGGAACAACACGGAAGGGGAGAAATCTTTTTCCGCTGAGTTGTCTGCCCCTGCTGTGCACGGCCTAGTAACGAGACCAGCGCCGTTATCTCGGAGACAAAGACTTCACGGGCTGTCACGTGACTCTGACTAGTGGATTCCTGATAACTTTCAGAACCTCCTCCCAGGTCGAAAAATCAGATCTCACTTTCTGCCACTTTGGCCCACTTCATCCGTTGTTAGCTCTCTGACACACCCTCACCAAAATATTCTCTTGGCTGTTCACGAGGAAGGGCTCTGCCGTCTAACTGCTCCAACTGCAATACTGTCTACCGCATGCTAGTGGCACTCGACGTGGGAATCCTTTTTTTAACCCCTCCCCTCGGTTTTTGCACTGGAACACAGCGATAATTATATTGCACATGGGGGTATTCAGAGGGTTACATGAGACAAGCCATGAGACCCCTCAATGCAGTGCTTAGGAGGTTCTAGGGGCTGGGTCAATGCCAAGTTCTTCTTGCTATTGTTACTTCCGTGGCTATGTACTACATTTTAATCATTTCTGTTACAGGTGGCAGCATGCATAAGGTAGTTTTGAAGTTTCTAATGTTTGAAGTGTATCCACTTAACAATTGATGCAAACCATTTCTCCTTGAATTCCACAGGCTCACGTGAAGTTTCTATTAAAAAAAAGGTTGGTGTCTGGTTTTCTAAATGGAGCAATAAAGCCAAAAGCAAATTACCATGAAGATAATGAAGCTTAAGCTTCAAGGTTCATTTGCACAAAACACTATACCTAATTTTCTATTTAGAATATGTATTCCTTTTTAAAAAAATACAAGAGGAGACCCAAAATTACATAGGCCCCAGGCCTCATAAAATTTGGACTCATCCCTAAACCAGGCCTGAGGATTTTAAAAGTCGGAATGGAGATATTCTTGAGTACCTCTACTGGCACAAAGGATATCATGTAAAACACGCTGATATTAAAAAACAGATGTTATGCTATAAATAAAAATATTTCTACTGTTCTGAAAAGCCGGACGAGGGGAGCAGTAATAAGCTCCAACGTGATTCTGACATTGGTATATGATATACCTGTAGGCTCCTTATCCATTTCAAGATCTCAGTATAGTAACCAACTTCAAATTTAGCTTTCTTAGCATAATTGGGATTCTTCTATGCTTGAAGCCACTGTTTCTCTGCCCTGTCCACAGCATCTCCTGCACACCCGCTGTGTGCCAGGCACTCTGCCAAACATGGGGCAGCAGTGTATGGAACAGGCAGAAGTGCCTAACCTCATGGAGCCGACCACCTACACACAGGGCAAGCTTCTGTCCGTCGGCAGCCGAGCGCCACTTGGCCCAGCATGCAGTGCGGCTGCTCAGGAAAGACACATGCCTCTCCATCAGGCGTTCTTCCAAAGGACCGCACCTTCAGGGCAGTCTGTGCTGTGGGCACCCAAACGTGCTTCTCAGGGGCCCTGGAGAGGGCGTGCCTCTCCTCATCAGCCCTCAAGCAGCCATCTGTTTTTGACTGCTTTTTGGACATTCTCAAAATCACGTTTTTAGCTCTTACTGATGCAGCATGAAGGACTGCCCTCAGTGTGGCATTGGCTGGAATGATTTCTTTTGTGTGTGCCCAAGGGAAAAAAAAATGAGAATAACTTTTAGAAACTGGACTCTACATCCAAATCCATAAAGTAAGGCAAAAATCTGAAAACAGTATGTTTTAGAACTCAATTCCTAAAAACCTTTAATGTGCCATTCTCCTGTAACTATTAAAAAACAAGAACGCCTAAGTACGAGTGGCCCCTGATAAGCACACGTAACGCACTGAGGAGCCTGCAAAGCGGAGCTGCCCACACGAGCAGCACCTTGACCATGAACCAGCCAGTGTAGAGTGGCTGCTTTGTGACATGCTTTGGGCCTGTGTTCCGAAACACTGTCTATTCAAAGCATATACGTCTCTTTCATACATTTCCAACTGTACCATGGCAGGCCTCATGTTATTTCTGTTTTGGCTGTCCCGATTCTTTGGAGCATCTCTCACGCCACCCCTTTCAGAGTATATTCCTTTACTGTAAAGCAGATCACTCCATAATACCCTTTACATTTGAAAATTACTCAGTCATTCCCAAGAGACATGGTACACCAGACTAGAAACTGAAATGTTTTAGTGTAGATTCTAGCCAGGTCTATACCACAGTCCATGTATTATTAATACATAACCTTTCAGTTTCTAGCCTGTAATTCAAATAATTTTTAATTGAATCATATTGCCCCAAAAATTATGTAAATGATTCAGAAGCCCCTTTTACTCTATGGTTTTGAACATCACCCTCGTCATTTCAAACACTCTCTCCTTCTAAAGGTTTTTTTTTTTTCATTACACAATCATCCTTCTAAACAAATTATGTGTATACCACCCAGAACACATCTCTAGTCCTGCACTGACACAATTTACTAAGAACTGAAAATATTTATGTATCACTCCAGTCTGAATGGCTGGGTTTCCTTTTGCCCTTGAAAACCCACCACAGTTACTATTCATTTAGCACATCTGGGCCGAACGCAATGCATCGAGAAGAACATGACACAGTCTGGCAATTCCTAATCTAAGGTTTTTACCAAGTTTCATAAAGACGGTAACGGAGGTCTCCAAGTTACTCTTCAATATTCAAAAAGACCAACATACTTTTCCCCTTAAACAACATCATCCCCCTCTAGATGAGGAGATACATCCAAGGAAGCATTACTCTTTGCCACATATTCGTTGCTCAGAGGCTCTGAGTGGCACCCCCGGAGATACCAAATTATAATAAAAGGGGTTTTGGGTTGTGAAAGGACTGGGAACGGCTGGTACTGCAGAAAAAGACATGGTTTTGAGAGCTGAAGACAGGTTTCGAGTCCTGAGCAACACAATTGCAGGCAAGCCACTGCATTCTGTCTGGGTCTCCATTCTTAAACTATAAAATGAAGGTCTGTTTAGATGATCTCTGCAGCTTTAAAATATTTCTTTATGGACCTTGGCATTGTTTGTGCCCACATAACTCGGTCACTGCATTCCTGCTGCAACTCTCCGTTCTCTCCCAGGCAGATGCAACAGTGATTAAACCCCAGTCCCCCAGCAGACAGGGTTCTCTCCTCAACCTAGCTGCCAAAGCCAAGGTTAATAGTTTTCAGTTAGATCACACACTTCACACAGGACACCTGAAAGATGTTCTAGAGAAAGGGAAGAAAACCCCAGTCATGGCAGAAGAAATAGAACCAGAAAAAAAGGAAACAAAGCCAGTCATTGCTACACATAGTATACAAACAATGTGACGGGCACTGATTTACCATTAGTGTCACAAGCAACCTTCCACCAAGAATGACTGACTGCCTTTATAAATAAGGCAACTGATTTGCCTAATGCACCATGACCCACTTATTTTACAAAAATGGAACTCTATGGTTTCAAATTATACACATTCAGAGGGCACTTTAAATGGTAATGTATTCCTGGAGACAAAGATTTGAAAGTGGGTCCAAAGAAAGACTCTAGCCTATAATCCTGGACTTTCTAAAATTTAAGAAAAAATTTTTTTCTCACTGTTTAAGAGCAGAAAGCTATGTAAGATGCTACACTAAACTGCATATATCAAAGTCACATTCAAGTAAGACTCATATTTTGGGCAACCAGGCAGCTGCTTATAACCAAACACAAAGGATATAATCTGAGCAGTCCAATGAGTAAATGTCTCCTGTCTCTAATAGTCCAAAATTACAAATCCATTTTCCTTGAATGAAGCTTATTTCCCGTATTTTGTATCCAATTAGAAGTAATCCCAGGAACCTGAACCTTGTCTGATATGATTTAACCTTACTTGTATAATAATCAGATACCACCACCCACCCATCTGAAGAGGTTTCTGTGACTTGGAATTACTTAACTAAAATACTTTTAAACATGTATCGTTAACATTAATGTAAACATCCTATTTGCTTTCATGAAATAAACATGTCACCTCTTCCCAAAAAGGTAGCAAGTACAAGTGTATCGCAGGCCTGCCTTAGGATTTGAGTTACCAATCTGATTACTCAGATAAACTACTGTATTGTCTATATGTATTTGGCAGCATTTTGCCCGTATGCATGTTTTGATTAAATAGAGTGTCTGTTTAGTCCAGCGGTGGAAAACTACTTCCTCAGACCCCAGAAAGATTTAGTTAGCCAATAACATTTCGGGGCTCATTTTTAAGTCGCATGTCGCTGTGAAAATACTTACGAGGCTCAAGACTGCAAGAGGGTGGCTCTAGAAGGGTACACCTTTTCCTGCTTGGCCGCGCAACCCGGAACTCTGCAGGCTCTCTGGCGGCAGCGTCACACTCCTGTCCCCAAACGGGATGCCCGTCCCGGGCACAGAACTAGGTGCCCATGGTTCCGGGATAGGAAATCGAGCCTGCTGACACCCTATTAACTGCAGCTCTTCTCCGGGACCCAGCAATTGTAAACGGGAGCCTGTTTCCCTAACCGAAAGCCTCCTCACCCTTCTCACTGGGGCCGGGGTGCGACGGAGAACCCCCGCTCCCACCCAACAGGCTGGACAAGGCGCTGCGACACCCCTTCCGAGCAAATCCGGACGCCAGCCCCGCCGAAGCTCCCGTGGACCCGGGCTGGGGCGCCTCGGTCTAAAGGCTGTAAGGCCGCCCACACTGGCTCCCTCAGTCTCCGCACCCGGCCCTCCCCAACCTCTCCTGCCGGGGTCCGAGACGCCCGAGAGCCAGCCGGGTAAGCAACCCTACTCACCGGTCAGGAGGCAGCCGCCCGGCAGCCATCTTAAGACCCCGCCAACATCGCGCTTCCTCATTGGCTCTGACATCTCAGCCAATGGGCTGGGGCCATTCTGGCCCGGTAGTCGCCATGGCAACCGCCAGCGTTCAACTGGGCGGTGAAAGGGGTTGAACTGAGGCTGATTGTTTTCTTTCTACTTCTTTTCTCCCATGGTTTTCCCTCTTTCTTCTGGTTGTTTCTCCAGACTTTGCTGTTTCTTCATCTCCTCCAATAACTGGTGCAGGCTTAGACTTTGACGTGAGTTCGATCCACAAAGGAGAGAATCGCTGCTGATGCTCTCTAGGCCCTTTCTGGGAATGTTTCCATTCATTCATTCTTTTCCTCTCTTTCTTCCTTTTTTGCTTTCTGCACATATTTTTTTAAGCAGGCTTCCTTCTACGCTTTGTTTAGGAGGAAACGGTCCGTCTCCTGCTCTCATGGAGCTTACCATCTGATTATCGTCCAAGCTGCCAGCTGTGTGACCTTGGCCGAGAGCTCCTTGAAAGGACTCCCGTTCCACGGCAGCCACTGTTTTAGGCCCTGGGGGAGCGCAGAACATAAGCAAGGAAAAAACAGCCAAGAAAAACAGAAACGCACTATGAAGAAAATAAAACCATAATGTGATCGCGATGGGAGTGGAGCTCTTTTAAAAGGGCTTCTTTTTTCTAAAATAGTGTTCTCTAATAAGGATAAGAAGGCTATTTCCTGTTTCCTAGTGTTGTAATGTTTGTATAAGAAAATACACTTAAAGACCTTAACCTGTTTATTACCTGGCCCTTTTGTCTTAGCTATTTGTTATTCTTAACATTATCAATAATGCCTCCCTTTGAAACATTCTGAAAACGTATAAAATGTTAGTGTGGCACTCAATAATATACCACGATTTAGTATAAGCAGGTCTTTAAGCTTATTGTTTGACTATCTGCTGCCCTACCCTCAGTGTCTCCCAGAAGATGTGCCAGGTTTATGGAGTAGTTTTCTATATAACCCCAGAATCATAGTGAAACCTGCATTGACCAGCTTGAGTGGCTAAGGTCCTGTTAACGGGCTCCCCATTCTCTGATTCTAGAATAGGAGCAGAGCTGAGCTATTAAGAATCTGTGGGAAACTGTCCTGGCCAAGCGTGTCTGCCTTCTCAAGGGAGTTTTCAGTGAATCCAAAACCTTCAAGTGTTACGGAAAGGATGTGTGTGAAAGCACTGTTTTAGCCATGGCGTTGGGCCTCTTAATCACTTTATTAGCTCAGGCACAGACTGAGTGACTTAAGCAACAGAAATTTACTTCTCATAGTTCTGAAGCTGAAGGTTGGGAAGTCCAACATGCCTGCCACGTGGGTTTCCTTCTGAGTCCTGTCTCCTGGCTTGTAAGGCAGCAGCCATCTTGCCGTGTGTTCCCATGATCTCTCTCTCTCTCCCCTGCCCCACCTCTCTTTTGTATTAATACATGTGTGTGGAAAGAGAAAAAAATAGGGAGGGAGAGAGAGAGAGAGCTATCTCCTATCCCAGGTCTCTTCTTCCGAGGAGACTAATCCTCTCAGGGCCCACCCTTATGACCTTAAGTAACCTTAATTCCTTAGGGTCCCCACCTCCACTTGCAGCCACACTGGGGGTTAGGGTTTCAACATATGGATCTTATTGGCACACAAACATTCAGTCCATAAAAATGCGTATGGTGGAAGTGTGGCCAGAATGGGGAAAGAGTGCAGAGGGGGAAGTCGGCCCATTTAAGAACTGTCTAGATTGTTTCCACATAAATTCCATCAAAGAATATTCATATTTTTTGCTACATGTAAATGTGCAAAGTAGAGGGGGAATGTAATTATAGGGACTCCAAAGACCTACAAACACTAGATTTCACATCAAAGGTTTTTGGTAAGTCCTACTTTAAAACAGGTATCTTAAATTCTTCTCTGTTCATTTGAACATCCCCAAATATCTGGTTGGTTTTGACATTATTGGGTTCCTATAATAAATGTAAATAGCGCACTTTTCTTCTGGTTCTGGTTGTGAGACTTACTCTCTGAATATTACTGTTTTCCACTTGTCTGGGGGAACTGCCAGTCATTTGATTTATTTTAATCAATAAATTTACCTTCCCTCCAGCAAATTCCTGCCCTGGAAACCTGCCAAACCATGCATTTTGTGAATGAAATACTTGTATTTGTGAGATTTCTATGCAACATAGAATTATTGAATACCTTTTACTAAATCATACTGAGCATGATGCAGCTAGTGAATGGAGCTTGAATTGTGTTGCATCTGGCACTAATTTCAAACATGTAAGTTTCACTTAAATTATCGAACATATCTGAAGAATCATAAAGCCGTTTTTCTCTGCCAAGGAATATTATAGTTTCTGAATAGTTTTTCCTTATATTTCATCATTTTTTTCTTAGTGTAGAGATTACAAGTCACACTCATGTTATAAAAGATTAATTGTGGAGGTCTTTTTTTGGTGGCTGCTAAATCTCTGATTGATGAAAATTTTCCCAAATATAATGAAATCCCTTAAATATTTCTCAGTTGGAAAAAGTGACCGTGACCTTGTTGAATATATAATAAATGTGTTTCTTGCTGAAACTGAGAAAGAGAATAATTAATTTCCGTCTGTACAGAATGCCTTATTTTCTGCGTTGAAGAAAAAGTGGTCCAGTGACTTATGCAGAAGAACAGAAACCAGGGAGTTCTGAATTTTAGGAATTGCGTGGTAATCCCTTTTCTGGATTTGCTTTTTAAATTCGCAAACCATAGCATCTATAAACCTTGTGAGCCTTCCAGGAATGTGTTAAAAAAAACCTAACACTGTTGTTACCAGCAAGAGTTAACATTTGAGGAAACAGCATTTCTGTAAAATAGGATGTTGCCAAAGAAAGCCATTTTTTTAACGGGTCATGTCCAGCACTTTCAAAATCGTCTGGTCCAATGGGCCATACATCAGAAGGGAAAGAGGACAGCTTATTGAACGTGTACATGCTCGGTATTTTGCATCTAATATCATATAATCTTATGAAGTAGTTATTATTGTATCCATTTAACAGATAAGGGAATTAAGGCTTCAAGAGTTTGAGAAACTTGCCTGTTGTCACATAGCTGCCCAGAAGCAGAACCAGGTGTGGAAGTTGCCCTGGACTCTCAACCTCATGCTTGCTCCACTGCTGCTCGTTTCCCTTTTAAGGAAGTTCCCGGCACAGCACAGTTAATAAAGTATAAACGTGACAATTACCCAGTGGGGGCTCCTGAAAAGAACGTCCTCAGGAGCAAAGTGTGTCTTCCCTCCCCACCCCCTCAGTGCCTCGTGAGTGGGCACACCCTATCAGAGGACCCTCTTCCACCATTCCTGCTTCAGGACGGTGAAGGCTACATCAGTCTCCCTTTTCCCAACGCAGTACCTTCATCTCCCCAAACAGCCCAAAGGCTGATTAATCTCTCCACGTAAAGGAACACAGGTAAAGCTTTTCACACAGAGCTGGCACGAATTGTCTAATGGTCAATACCTACTCATTTCCTTTCCTTATACATAAAAAATAAGGAGGGTGTGTCGGGGGGAGGAATCAAACAGGTAGTACACAGAGGATGTTTTGGACACTGAAGATACTCTGAATAGTAACCGTAAGGATAGATGTGCATCATTATAAGTTTTTCCAAGCTCATAGAATATGCACGGCCAAGAGTGAACCCTAAAGGAGACTGTGGACTCCGGGTGCTTGTGACGTGTCAGTGCGGGTCCACCTGTCGGAATGACGTGCTGCTCTGCCAGGGACAGCAGTCGGCAACGGGGAAGCCGTGCGTGGGCGGAGGCAGCGACCGTGTGGGAAATCTCTGCACCTCCTGCTCACTTTCGCTGTGAGCCTAGAACTGCTCTAAAAAATAAGGCCTTTCTAAACTCAAGACAATCATTCATTACATGTGAAAATTATGCAAAACCCAAAATTTGGTGTCTATAAATAAAGTTCTATCGGGGCACACAGAGAAAAAAAAGCTAAGGAAGATACAAATGTTGATAGATTACCAGATTACGGTAATATGTTGATATTTTTGTGGACCTTACCACGTGCCCCATGCTCAGCACTTTGCTTAGGTCAGAGGAGAATACGTATGAAGTGTATGAACTGGTCTATCCAGAAGTTTGGAGTCTGAGACAGATGATACATTTTACCCCATAAGTACTAAAATTGTCAGAACTGTGATGTAAGTACAAACCATAGATCCTGAGAGTGGAAAAGTAAGCTAGGTGACTTTGGCATGTGCTTTTTCCTTTGAAAGGAATACCTTACTCTTTTATACCTTTGGACTTCTTTTCATCCTTCAAAACCTAGATCAGATACTACCTCCTGAGTTAAACCATTCCTGATTCATGCAGCTCATGCCTTCTCTATGCCTTCATAATAGTTGACATAGAGCACATTGAAATACAATTAGTTGTCATGGGTCAGTCTACCCTCACTGACAGACTGTGAGCTCCTTCAAGGGGACAGTGCCTAGCATGGAGTAGGTGCTCGTTAAATGTTTGTGGAGGGGACAGATGGGTGACAGAGGCGGAGATGTCAATGCATGGGGTGGAGAGAAATGGGGAAGGTGGTTTAGCAAAATCC